CCCTTTCTCCTTAAATAGCACATATTCCATTATAATAATCACTCCTTTGCAAATCCCCACAAAGCCCTGGTGCGTCTCTCTCTCTGTAGTACTTCTCGGAAGTCTCCAGCTCCATGTAAGCTTAACTCCCAACAACCTCTTAAAATTAGTAGCCACAGAGCTTAAATGTCTATTCACCATGGCTTGGCAGTCCCACTGCGTTTCCCTTGAATGGGTCATGTCCCACTCCTGGGAGGAGTTAGTCCTATTCTTGCCGAAACCTGAAATCCCCCCCTCCACTTCTGCTCTCCTTCAGCCAGTGACCTCACTTGATAATTTCAATGAAAAAGAAATTAAGCAACCAGGTGGGAGTTTCTTCGCTCCCTGCTTCTGAGCCCGCCTTCTGCTTTCCTCTCTTGCTCGCTTTACTTGGCAGTGACATCTCCCAGCTTCTGTGAAAGGCTAAGCTCTCTATGCTGTACCCTCAAACCTATCCCTTCTTGCTTTTCCAGATACTTTTCTCTTGCAAGAATATCTTCTGTACTGGCTTGTTCTCATCAACATGCACACATGTTTAAAAAAAGCCAATCAGGGGCTCCTGGGTGGCTCAGTGGGTTAAAAGCTTCCTCCTTCAGCTCAGGTCATGATCCCAGGGTCCTGGGATCGAGCCCCTCATCGGGCTCGCTGCTCAGCAGGGAGCATGCTTCCCTTCCTCTCTCTCTGCCTGCCTCTCTGCCTACTTGTGATCTCTGCCTGTCAAATAAATAAATAAAATCTTTTAAAAAAAATAAAAAAATAAATAAATAAAAATAAAAACAAAAAAAGCCAATCATCTTTGCCCCAGATAACCTGTCCCTACACTGTCCCATTTCTTGGCTCCTCTTCACAGCAAAACTTATGGAAACCATTTTGTAAACGATGGCTGCCAGCAGTTCCCCAATTCCTCCAATTCCTCACCTGTCTGCAATCTGGCTTTCCTTCACACTTCACTGAAATTGCTATTTTTAAGTGTCCATTTGTTTCTAAAAATAACTGCTCATCTCTGTCCTTATCTTACCTGACCTCTAAAGCAGTATTCCACATGCTTGATCACCTCTTTCTCCCTGAATCAGATTTCTCCTTAGAGCGTTTGTGACACCACACTCCTCCGCATTTTCTGGCTATCTCCCTGAGTCCTACTTACGAGTTTTCTATAATGGGTTTTTCCTACTCAGCCTCTGAACATGGAAGCGTCCTGGTCCCCAGTCTTGACCCTCATCCCTCTCTATAGGTACAAACCTCATAACCTCTCCCTGGAGCTCAAGACTCGTGTCCAGATATCTGCTTGGCATCATCTCTTGGCTGTTTCATAGACATCCTAACCTCTGCAAGTCCAAACAAAGCTCTTTCTTTCCCACCACATACGTGATCTCCTCTTGCCACCTTCCTCATCTCAGTAAAGGTCATCCACCAAGTGGCCACAGTTAACTTTGGTGAAACCCTTGATTCTCTGTCCCTCACCATCTGCTGTTCGTCAGCAAGTCCTGCCAGTTCTGCCCTCAAAATCCATCCTAAGTGCTTGTAATTCTCCATCCCCTTTGCTCCCACCCTCATCCAAGCTGCCGTGGTCTCCTGAGCTAGTGCGCTGGCCTCTCTGCTCCCTCTTTTGTCTCTTGTAATGCATTCCCTAAGAGTGGCCATAGTGATCTCTAGAATCTTACATCCAGTAATCCAGGACTTTTCCTTTGCACTGGAGTAACACCTCAGCTCCTCACTGTGGCCCAGGCCCTGTGTGATCTGACCCTGATGCACCTGTCTGGCCTCATGATACTGCCCCCACTGGGGGTGCCCTGGGGGCGCTTCACCTTAGGGTAGGGCACTTATTCTCATGTTCTTTGGACAGCTTTCTGGAGGAGAGGGTCACTCCTTATCATTTAGGATCAAACGTCACCTCCCCAGAGAAGCCTTCCCTGAATACCTTATTTGAAGAGTGCCCTCCCAGTCTCTCCCTCTGTGTTTATTCTCCTGGCACTTACCCTTCCTGAAGGGAGGGACCATGTCTAGCTTCTTCACATCTATATTGCCAGTGCTTAGTGTAGTCCTTAACCTTCAATAGAAACGAATCAATTTATTGAATACCTGAATGAAAAACTGTCTGGAACATTTCTCAGATTCTGGTCACACTGCTTCCGTCCTTTTATTTGTACCATGACTGCCACCGGGAGCCGTAACATCCTGATTACTATTTCTTAAAGCAGTGACACCGCAGTTTATGATTTCTCAGCCATGAGGGGCTGGGAAAAGCAGTTAACTAACCTCGTTAAGAACTGCGTGTGGGGGGCGCCTGGGTGGCTCAGTGGGTTAAGCCTCTGCCTTCAGCTCAGGTCATGATCCCAGGGTCCTGGGATGGAGCCCCGCATGGGGCTCTCTGCTCAGCAGGGAGCCTGCTTCCTCCTCTCTCTCTGCCCGCCTCTCTGCCTGCTTGTGATCTCTGTCTGTCAAATAAATAAATAAAATCTTTAAAAAAAAAAAAGAACTGTGTGTGAAGGCCGCCTGGGTGGCTCAGTTGGTTGGGTGACTGCCTTTGACTCAGGTCATGATCCCGGAGTTCTGGGCTCGAGTCCCTCATTGGGCTTCCTGTTCAGGGGAGAGTCTGCTACTCCCTCAGACCTTCCCCCTCTCGTGCTCCCTCTCTCTCTCTCATTCTCTCTCTCAAATAAATAAATAAAATCTGAAAAAAAAAAAAAAAACCTGTGTGTGAAGAATGGGGGAATTTAGAAGTCGAGTCCAGCATTAGTGAGGGGGCATTATCCTCATTTATTTTCCAGTGAATATTATTGTCCTAGTTTCATGAATTTTGTTATTGGTACTGCCTCCGAAAGATGTCCGGAAGCTTGTCTGGTCAGGATCTTCATCATCACGGTCTGACCGGAAATAAAAGAGAAGTCAGATGTGCTCTGAGTCTTAATGACTGCTTGTTGGAGCCTGGGAAGGGAGGTCCGAGAGGTGAAGGGACAGCCAAGGCGGGCACCTTTTTGCATGTTAGGACTCTCTCTGAGCCTGTCTTTACGGACTCCAGGAGAGGGGGATGTGAAGGGGGATTGGTTTTATTTATTGTGGTAAAATATACATAACATAAAACGTAATATTTTAGCTATTTTAAAGGTACAGCGGCATTCAATATATTCATGTCATGCAACCATCACTGCTGTCCATCTCTAGAACTTTCCAAACTGAAAATCTGTACCCATGAAACAGTTAACTCCACATTCCCCCAGCCCCTGGGACCCTTTATTTGACTTTCAGTCTCTGGATTTGACAATTCCTGTTGAAGGAACCGCCTTCCTCCTGTGCCTCCTTCACTGTCAGCTGTCTCACTGCTGACCCTTCCCTCCGCCAGACGTGTGAGGTAGGGTTTGTGGGGGCAGGTGTGGCCGGTTCCCATGTCACACAGCTGTGACACACCAGCTGGGTATCCTAGAGTTTGACTCCATTCTGACACCTTCTACCTGGAGGTAGCATTAGATCCCACCGATTTCTGGGCTCAGTCCCACGAAGCTGACCCTGTGCGTGCCTTCAGGTGACAGTTTCAAGTCCACATTGTTTCCTGTACTTCTGAGCGACCAGAGATCAGAGGTTCCTACAGTCTCCTCCTCGGGATAGATTAATTTGCCAGAGCAGCTCACAGAATTCAGGAAAACCTCGTACTACATCACTGGTTTATCATGAAGGATAACTCAGGAACGGCCAGATGGAAGAGACGCCCAAGACAAGGCATGTGGGAAGGGGAGCAGGCTTCCAGTCCCTTCCTGGGCCCCACTCTACCAGCACCTCCACTATGTTCACCAATTGGGAAGCTTCTCAAACCCCTATCCCTTTGTGGTTTTAGGGAGGCTTCATTACATAGGCATCATTGATTAAATAATTAAATAATTAGCCATTGACAATTAGTTCAACTTCCGGTCCCTCTTCCCCTCCCCCAAGGGCGGGGCAGGGATCCTCCCTCCCGCATGGGTCTGAATGTTCCAACCCTAGTCTAATCATGAAGTTGGTTCCCTGGCAACTAGCCCCCATCTAAGGGGCTTTCCAAAAGTCACCTCATTAAATAAACTCAAGTGTGGTTGAAAGAGGCTTGTTATAAATAACAAAGGACACCCATTTCTCCTTTAATACTCTGAAGTTATTTCAGGAACCGGGATCAAAACTTAAATATCATAACCAAAGATGCCCATGACTCTTCTGTAGGAAATTACAGGGGTTTCAGGAACATCAAATACAGATTTCTTACTATAAATCACAATATCCCATCATAAGCAGAATCATACCATATTTGTCTTTTTTTGTCTGCTTATTTCTCTTAGCATAAGGTTAAGGTTCATCATGACCTCGCTTGCCAAAAATCTCATTCCTTTTCAAGGCTGCATAATATTCTAGTGTGTGTATCTACCACATTTTCGTTCACCTTCATTTGACATCTGTGAGTAGTGCTGCCGTGAACGCTAGGGTGCAAATATCTGTTTGAATCTCTGCTTTCACTTCTTTTATGCATATACCCAGAAGTGGAATTACTGGATCATATGGTAATTCTATGATCAATTTTTTAAGAAAAATGCTAAAGGGGCTTAAAACCCGTTAACTTATTGGTGAAAAGGACTATTCATTGATTGCCTCATATATGTCCTATAGTATATTAGGGCAGCAGAGAAATGGGAATGGATGGGTCACAGCTCCTTCTCTCAAGATCTATAAGGAGGGATGTGCCTAAATAAAAGTAGCTATCATATACCATATTTAGTGCTGTATTAAGATGTGTATTATGGGAGCATTTTATAATAATAATGATTTCTAGTGTTTCTGAAGACAAAACCTCCTTGGATATTGTCCAGGATAGATGTTCTACCACACTGTGGTTAGTAGTGGGGGATGCGGTAGAGAGTTTCCAGTATACAAGTTTTGGTTGTGCATTTGTATTTTTTTAATAGCTAACAGTCCATCCACCTTTTCTGTGATCTAAATGTCTTTTCTGTTTTCTCTTCCTTTAGTGGTTTTTAATTGCCAACAGATCTTACAAAGTCAGTGCAGCGAGCTCTTTCTTCTTCAGTGGTGTGTTTGTGGGAGTCATCTCCTTTGGTCAGCTTTCAGATCGCTTTGGAAGGAAAAAGGTCTATCTCACAGGTAATCAGTTAAGAGTGTTCACGCACTGAATAGGAGGACTTACTTCCTTAGCGTTCTCCGGAAATTGCCATGTGGATACAGAACTGATTTTTAATACACTAGCAAGAGGCCGCACTGCAGCCAGAATTGATTCTGGCCAAGCGCTTTCAAGGCACCAGCAGCATACCTGGGGAAGGCCACGTATTTGTGTCTAAGCTTTTCAGAGATGATGGTTCTTTTGGCAATTCTGGAATTCTAACTTATGCCACATTTCTAAAGAGAACAGAGACTGAGCCAGTGTACGAGATCTGTTTCCTTGTATCTTATCTGTTGGTTCATTTCAAATATGCTCTATAAGAACCAGCATAGTTCTTTTGACAAGCTGAGCATGAGCTGGGATTTTTCCATTTCCCACACTGTTGTGAATAATTGAAAACTGTGCATGACTGACAGATTATCAACTTGTAACAAAGATAAACCTTAGTTTTTCTTTATAGTTTTTAAGAGAAAATGTTTTTTTAAAAAAGCATAGCTTAGAAAAATTTAAGTTTACAGAGATTTATCTTTACAGGTGTAAAGTCAGTATAATTTATTACTTTGATCAAATACTGTTTTATGTCCGGGTTATTGACTGTTGTTCCTCTAATTCTAGGTTTTGCTCTTGACATCTTATTTGCTATTGCAAATGGGTTTTCCCCTTCGTATGCCATCTTTGCAATAACTCGCTTCCTGGTGGGCGTGATGAACGGAGGAATGTCGCTGGTGGCTTTCGTCCTGCTGAACGAATGTGTGGGCACCGCCTACTGGGCACTCGCAGGTACTGCTTCACTCCGTGCACATGACAGAGATGGTGAGCTTCCCGGTGAAACCTCCAAGGGAGCCAGTTGAACCCCAGAGGCTAAAATGCACTTGGACTTGAGGTGCTCCGTCTCACCATTAGATTTGCTTTCCAAAGTTTGTTCTCTATGACCTTGAACAAGTCATTTTATTCATATCCCTCTGTAGACAGTCTCCCCTGAGTCCTGCTTCATAGATGGTGAGCTTGCCTCCAGATTGTTCCAAGAGTGTCATTTTCTTCAGAAGGATATTAACTGTTTACACCTTAAACTGAAAAGTGGCACAGACATAAAAAAGCCTAGACGTTCCTTTCCCAGTGCCTTCTTACTGTATTTTATTAAATATTTATCTCCTGGGCAGGGGAGGGACAAGTTGGGAGGACCAGTTGATATAGGGCCAGTGCTAGGCCAAATAAGAAACTCATTTTTATTTGAAATGCAGTAAGAAGCCAGCAGGTGAATTAAATAGTGGAGCTATAGGATCAGATAGGATACAGATGGACAGCTGTGGCAAAGGTGTGGAGAATAGACCATCGGAGGAGGAAAAATTGAATTGTCATAGAGGAGGTGGTTGTGGTTGGCCTGTGAAACACAATGGGGGCTTGCTCAGACACAGTGCGGGGAGAGGAGCAGAGAAGAGGGCCATGTGAGCTGGATTTTGGTGGGGCAGCGACTTGCTGAAGGGTCAGAGTGGGGAGAGAAAGAGGAATCAGCTGGACCTCATGGCTTTGCTTGCAACTGGGTGGATTGCTAGTACAATTTACAAAAATGAAGTCTAAGCTACCGAAATTTAGTTTTTACTAGTGTGAACGAAGCAAACATAGCAGACTTGAAAATGAAAGTGATCTAAAAGAAACAGGAAATCTGAAAAATAGGATCAATATCTAATAGCCTGTAAACAGAAGACCACCAGTGACACTCCAGAATTATAACATGCAAAAAGTGGTGATTTGAAATGTTCACTTAATTAATTTTTTGACTAAATAACCTAGAGCCTTCCCACATCTGCATCTCCACACCACCTCTGTTGTCATTTCTAGGCAAACATGTGCAGCTTCTTGTTGGACATGAGATCTGAATGTCGCTTGGACCCTCAAATAAAAAGTATTGCTTTCTTTCTCCTAAAACCTTCACCTTCCGGGACCTTTGTCTGTGGTAATGTCTTCACGGCATTTACGGTCATTAAAGGAGACGCCTTCTGCTCCTGTCCTCTTGTCTACCATACCCAGTCGATACCAACTCATACTGATTATAGGGGACAGAGCCTCAACTCTGATGAGCCTCTCTATATAAAGGGAAATTATGTGGTTAATATAACCAAACCCCTGAAGGTCCAGGCCTCAAAGATGCCCAGAACCAGGAAGTCCGATGCTTCTTGTCTCTGCTCCCGAGTCCTCCCTGAGAAACTTTCTCTGTGCAGTCAGGGATGGGCCCCTGTAGCCCTCAGCCCTTACTACCAAGTGTAGTATTTAAAATCTGGGCTCAGAGCTCGGACTAGCCCAGCCGAGGCCCTGCAGTGAGTGGAACTGTGATGGGCAGCCCCGTCTTGAACCACAGGGATAAAGGAAGGGGAGGTCCACTCTCTAGAAGAGGGAAAAGATATTCTTGGAATTAGATAGGGTGCTAGGTAGACAGTATCTTATAGTAGGTACTCACCCTGGGAGGCTTCCCAGTGGCTTTTTGGAGGGAGGGTAATAGATGGGTATAGATAGCTATACCCATATCACAGTAGGACAGTATAGCTAGTATTTGTATATTTGTATAGCAGGCATTATTTCATCCTAAACTAACAACTACCCTCGAGAAAACTGAGGCTCAGAGACATTTAGTGATTTGCCTGAGGTCACACAGCAGCAGGTGGCAGAACTAGGGTCTGAACTCAGTCCCTCTGGAACAGTCCCATTCTGTGGGCTGTCTTCTTTTTGACTGCGTTGTTGTCAGTGGATACCAAGTGCTCGGAGCTGTTCTGAGCAATGGCAGAAACTGTTATTCTTGGAAGCCAGGTGCTGTCTGATGCCCTGTAATGAAGCTGTAATAGCTATTGATTATCTTAAATTTCCAGGGAAATCACAGTATCCCCACTTCCTTCCTTATCGGACCACATGTTTGGATTTGGTGTGCTGAACATGCTGCCACTTCACTCTCCCCTCTGCTCCCCCCTTCCCCTCACTAGGGCACAGAGTAGACATGTCATTATGGCTAGAGAATTGATCATCCCTGGGCAAGACAAGAACACGTTTCTTTTATAGAATTCTTGTAGAAAGTTCTTGTAGCAAGATCAACAAGGTCCTGTTGCTGTATGTTCCCCACAGAAGCCTGCCTTTCCACAGGAGGATGGAGAAGGAGGACGAGGACAGCTCGCAGGCTTGCCCCACCCTGCGCACAGCTCCGTGTCCTAGACAGCACCCCTGACCTCGCTGTGCTGTTTCCTCTTTGTGTATGGCTCTAATGGCACCTGTTTGTAGGACGACATATGTCAAAAGTGGAATGCACGATAAATGGTAGCGGGTACTGCTGCACACCGTGGTAGTAGCAGTTATAGAAAGTGAGTCAGAGGTATAAATTCACACATATATCGGGCAAGCCAGGGGGACTTAATCCCATCTCAGCATTTATTAAAAAAAAAAAAAAAAAAAGAATTTTTCACAATCCCATGGGTGATTTTTTTTTTCCTCTAAGCCTGCTGGCAAAAATCCATGCTTTGTGGAGACAGACAAGAATCAGAGAGCTATAAAATGTCATGTATCTGGTGCTGATACACCCAATGGGGAAGGGCAGGAGGGAGAGCTGAGGAGGAGCTTGTGATTTAAGAGGAGGATTTGATAAGATGAAGTCCCAGCATTTCTATAATCTCATGACCTAAAAACGGTCCGGCCAGCCAGCAAAGCATCTCTCCGAGCTTCAGCGCATGCGCGGTGAACAGCCTTTCGTGCGGAAAGCACTTGGGCAAACCCTTAAAATTCATCTTGTGTGGTTTGTGTTTTTCACCTGTCCTTCCTCCTTTTCCCCTCACTCACTGGCCTCTCTGCCACTTTTCTCATCTGACAGTCGCTATGTGTGTAGGTTCTTTTCTGCTGACGCCCTTCCAGGAAGGCATTGCCTCTGTGCCTCGGGTCGGGAAGGGTGGTGTGGAAGGTGCTTTCCCCAGTAACAGGCGTCTTTTCCCGGACTTAGGGTCGATCGGTGGCCTCTTCTTCGCGGTCGGCATTGCCCAGTATGCCCTGTTGGGGTACTTCATCCGCTCCTGGAGGACCCTCGCCATTCTGGTGAACCTGCAGGGAACGGTGGTCTTCCTTCTGTCTTTGTGAGTAGTTTTTCCTCTTAGAGGTTTAATTTAAGACACGGAAGGAATGTCTTAAGAGGACGTGGGTCAGTGAGCGGCGTTATTCCCTTTCCGGAGTTTGCCTGAACTGACCTTGGTGAAGAGCTGTCCCACAAGCGCCCCAGTGCCAGACAGCTGCTGGGAAGAGGTGCTTGATTAAATCAGGGCTCAGGTGTCCCTTGTGTCAAGTAACCTCTCCATAGCCTGCATTTTAACCTTCAAGTTATTGACTTGGTAAGCCTAAGGCCTCGAGCCTGAAGATCTTCAGGCTGGATCAGGTCAAGGGCTAGGCATCTGGCTCAGCTGTGATGCTGTGGATATCACAGTCCATTCGTGGCCCGTGTGTAGCTGTAACTGTCCATCCTTCAGGTGACTCTTACTTCGGGGCCTCTACTGTGGACACAGGAAGACTCTCAGATATGGGAGAAATCCTTTGGGTGGACGGGCTTAAAGCAGTAAAAGGGTGATTCCCTGGTCAGGGCGGGATGCTGCAAACAGCTCAGAGGTTACACTGTGGGGCTCTAAACACTATAAGGCAAGCCACCAACTTGGAACCCTTTACCAGTTCTTTCTTCCCATAGCAAATACTTGATTAATAAGGTTATTAATAGTGTTTGTTATATGATATGTATTACATAATATATAATAGAATGGTATTATTTATTAATATTCTTCCCTAAATAGCCTCAGGCTATTTAACAAATATAAAACAAATACTTAAGAGACATTTACAGAGTTCTTCATAAAGTAACATTAAATACTGATCATCTTGTTGGGGCCTAGAAGCCCAGTTTCAGTCATAAATACTATACTACATTCTGATCTTTAGTCACAAAGAAGTAATACTATTCCATTTCTTATTTCATCATTTTAATGATGTTTTTAAGAAGTTTGACGTTTTAGGGGCGCCTGGGTGGCTCAGTGGGTTAAAGCCCCCACATCAGGCTCTCTGCCCAGCAGGGAGCCTGCTTCCTTTCCTCTCTCTCTGCCTGTCTCTCTGCCTACTTGTGATCTCTGTCTGTCAAATAAATAAGTAAAATCTTAAAAAAAAAAAAAAAAAAAAAAAGAAGTTTGACGTTTTAGGGGCACCTGGGTGGCTCAGTCAGTTAAGCATCTGCCTTCAGCTCAGGTCATGGTCTCAGGGTCCTGGGATCAAGTTCCTCATCAGGCTCCCTGCTCCCCGCTTGTGTGCTCTCTCTCTCTTTTTGTCTCTAATAAATAAAATATTTAAAAGAAAAAGAAGTTTGAATTTTTAGTTTTATTTCACCAGAAGTTTTAATGTGCTTATGAAGGGCTTTCTCCTGAGGTATCAGACCTCTAATTTTAATCATTAAAATCTTAGGAATAAATAAAATCTTCAGAAGCTGGTACCAGCTTCTGTGCCATAAAGTGAGGGATATCTGTGGTAGAATTTTCCTTCAGATGCATCTTTAATGTAGTCGTTCTTTATTCAAGTTCTACTAATTGAGATTTGGTAGATTGAGGATTGAACTGAAATTTTGTTTTTGTATTCTCTTTGAAATAAGAGAATTAAGTGCAAAAATGAGTATAACCAGGCAGGGGTACCTGACTGGCTCAGTTGGAAGAGCATGAGACTCTTGATCTTGGGGTTGTGAGTTCGAGCCCCACGCTGGTTATAGAAATTACTTAAATAAATAAACTTTAAAGAATAAGTATAATAGAAATAGTTTACCTGTACTTAAAAAGCAAAATGTATTAAATGCATTTAGTTATATGAATTGGAATGAGATAATTCTACCATAAAGGGAAACTGACAACATTTTATTAGTTTGTGTATTACAAATTTTTGGAATAAATGGGTGCCTAGTATCATCCTTGAATTAATAAGCTGTCATGTAAATATGGGTTAACAAATGAATTTTCTTTTTAAGTAGCTCATAAGTCTCCTTTAGAGCGACTCTGATGGATGGCATGAGCTGTTCTGCCTGTCTTGTCTTTTTTTTTTTTTTAAATATTTTATTTATTTATTTGACAGAGAGAGAGATCACAAGAAGGCAGAGAGGCAGGCAGAGAGAGAGGAGGAAGCAAGCTCCCTGCTGAGCAGAGAGCCTGACTCGGGCCTCGATCCCAGGACCCTGAGACCATAACCCAACCCGAAGGCAGAGGCTTAACCCACTGAGCCACCCAGGCACCCCTGCCTGTTTTTCTGAAATTGGTCTGAGTTTGTTATGGCCCCAGTGCTGGGGGGGACATCCACACCCTGGGAAATGAATTCGGGTCAGGAAAAAATGGGAAATAGAGAAAAAAGAACATGTGAACCTGAAATATATATATTTATTCCATTAGGCCTTCCAGTGGTCAGCCTGCAGTTTATCTCCTCTGATAGTATATTAGCCCATTTCCCATATCCTGTGTCCTGCGCACAGCGAGCTGCTTACGGTTTCTGGCATCAGCTTGTCCTGTCCTCCTTGCCTGCCTTGCCCTTCTCACTGCTGCCCCTGCCCTTCCCATTTAACTCCTGGCCTTCCGGGTTTGCTCAAATGCCACCCCCTCCAAACTTCTCCCCATCGCCCCTCCAGCTGCCCGTCATTTGTTTTGGCTTCTGAATTCTCCAGCACTTACCCCACGCTCTTTGAGGGCTCTCTTTCCACCTCATGCTGGAGCCCGGCTCCCTCTGCACTAGGAGCTCCCTCCCTGGAGGCTGCTCAGCTCCGTCAACATGTCCCCCAGCACTGATGCCCAGGGCCTTCCGCACGATGATCCTTCAGGTCCACTGGACAGGTGTGGGCACAAAAACAGCTGCAGTTAGCCTTCAGAAATAGCTGTCAGTAACATAAGAAAAACTCATTATTTTAGGGTCCTACCTTGTTTTTTTTTTTTATTTTACTAGAAACATTAGTGCGTAGTTTAAAAAATCCTCATTTTCACAATACGTGGATTTATACAGTTTTACTCTACAAATCAGAGCTCCATAATTTACAAAAATTTTCCACCTTCTGAGAAATTCACAGGACATGTTTTGAGTAGAGACAACATTGTTAAATTAGCTGTGTAGCTTCCGGAGATGGCCCTAGCACCATGCAGTGGTCAGCATGTTCAAAGACTGCTCTTTCTTTTAAAAGCACGTCTTGCTGTTTGATATGCAGAATCGGCACGCGTTGGAATTTATACTCCCAAGTCCATCCGTGGGCAGCTGGGTGAGCCTTTGTGTAAGGGAGCTTCCTGGCTTCTCCAAGTGTGGGGATGTGTCAGGTCCTCTGTTCGTGTGCAAGACAGACCCTTTCCATGCAGAAATGGTTTAGTAACTCAAATTCCCAAAGTGTGACTATCTCTCAAGTACAAAAGTGATTTATAAACATTTAACGGTGATGTAAACATTTATGTAACAGCAGTTTACAAACATTTTAACAGTGATTAATGCTTATCAACAATTCTGAAAGCAGGGAAGTTGGAGGGAAAGGGGGCAGTGAGCTAAATGACCCGAAGATTGTGACTGTTAGTATTTTGGCGGTTCCCTTGTCTCCTTTCTCTCACCTCCCCATTCCCCTTGGTTTTAATATTTATTACGACAGACTTCTGGTGTCCCACTTCCTTTTCCCTCCCAGGGCTACTCTCCGTGCTCATCACAGTAGGCTTCTTTTATGTTCTTTGTATTCGCACTTAGAGTCCATCACGTGGTTTACATGGTGGCTGTTCAGCTGCCTGGTGAATAGGGCCAGTGGTTCCACTAGTTGATCGGCAGACCTGACTTCCAGCTGAACACTATTTTGCTTGATTGTCTGCTTGTGTATTAGAAACAATAATCGAATGGTAATGAAGCCGTAAATCAAGGGATTTTTTTAGGCTGTCGTAGAAGGTCTGTGGCCCTGCTTTTGTTGACGACCAGATGTGCACGAATGTTCTCTCCCCAGCAGCAAAGCTCTGGGAGGATTCCTGCCTTCTTGTTTCCTCTGAGCACCCACTGCATTGCTGGATACAGAATGAAAGTGCTCAGTAAGTGGTTCTTGATGGACTGGCTGTCCACGAAGTTCCAAATTCCATGGTATTTGTTGCCACGTCACTGTGCCTATGGGAAGGCATGGAGAATTCTAGAAGGCATCTTCAGTGGCCAGTGGTACTCATAGATAGAAGCTTCATGTTAAGCAAATAATGTCACATTAGATCAAAAGGTACTCGAAGCTATATTTAGTAAACAAGGTGTCACTGTTCCTGTCCCCATTTGTCTTTGACAAGTCCTCTAGCCATGTACAGAGAAGTGTGCAGAGGAAAAGGGCATATCAGAGAGCCAAGTCTTAAAACTACTGGAAAATATTAGTGGCAATATAACTGTTCAGTACTTCGTAGTTGTAGCAGAAAATGATTATTTGGTACCTGGAAGTTAACCAGAAGATGACTTTAATTCTTTAAGGCCTTAGGGACAGGAAATACCCTGAGGACATTTTTTTTTTTTTTAAAGACCCATTTATTCAGCGTCATGATCAGACTATTACATTTAGCAATCAACAGCATGGGTGCAAAAAAAAAATCTACATTAAAACCCTTTGTTGGAATGCTTTACACTTTCCACAGAACAGAAACTAAAATAACCTGTTATACAATTAGTCACAAATACAGTCCTCGATTTTTTTTGCCCATACACATGAGTATAGTCTAAAACATGTCTTCTTTGTAGCAGCTAGTCCCTGCCACCACTGTGCTTGGCTGAGTTCACAAATCTGTTGTAACCTGTAGCTTCCCTGTCACTTCTCTGGCTCTCCTCTCCTGCTAAGCTTTGTTTCCTGGCAGTAATTAAAACCTTCTGCTGCTGCTGCTGGAACCACCATAGCCACCTTGGTTTCGTGGTTTGGCGAAGTATTGGCCTCCACCACCATAAGGGCCAGAGCTTCTGCCTCCAAAATTGCCTCCTTTCATGGGTCCAAAATTTGAGGATTGATTGTTGTAATTGCCAGAATCATTATAGCTTCCGCCACCTCCAAAGTTGCTTCCATCATTACCAAATCCGTTATAGCCATCCCCACTGCCACCATATCCACCACCACCTCGACTGCCACCAAAGCCACCTCGACCACTGAAGTTTCCTCCGTAACCAAAGTTGTCATTCCCACCAAAACCACCTCCACGACCACCACCAAAGTTTCCAGAACCACTTCGACCTCTTTGGCTGGATGAAGCACTAGCCATCTCTTGCTTAGAGAGCGCTTTCCTTACTTCACAGTTGTGGCCATTCACAGTATGGTATTTTTGAATGACAATCTTGTCTACAGAATCATGGTCATCAAATGTTACAAAAGCAAAACCCCTCTTTTTGCCACTGCCTCGGTCAGTCATGATCTCAATCACTTCGATTTTCCCATACTGTTTGAAATAATCTCTTAGATGATGTTCTTCAGTGTCTTCTTTAATGCCACCAACAAAAATCTTTTTCACAGTTAAGTGGGCACCAGGTCTTTGAGAATCTTCTCTTGAGACAGCCCTCTTTGGTTCCACAACTCTTCCATCTACCTTGTGTGGCCTTGCATTCATGGCTGCATCCACCTCCTCCACAGTGGCATATGTGACAAACCCAAAGCCTCTGGAGCGCTTGGTGTTTGGGTCTCTCATTACCACACAGTCCGTAAGTGTTTCCCATTGCTCAGAATGGCTCCTCAGACTCTCATCGGTTGTTTCAAAGCTCAGACCTCCGATGAAGAGCTTCCGCAGCTGTTCAGGCTCTTTGGGAGACTCTGACTTAGACATGATGGCAGTGGGAGGGGAGACTTTAACGATGCTTACTTGACGGCATCCATGGGCAGAAAAGCACCCTGAGGACATATTAAAGTGAGATGTCAACCGATTCGAGCATTCTGAAGCAGGAAATGCTTGAAAGTAGTTGAGATGTGATGAACCCTGTTTGATTTTATTAGAGTCTTAAAATAATCTCTGCTTTCTTAATAACATATTGCTACGTTAAAATCATGTTTTAAAAATAATTTTTTCTGACGAGACAATAAAAATTATCTTCTTTATGAGGCTTTGTCAGAACTTAAACACCTGCCATCTCTGTAGTAGTATTCTTACACTTGGCTAGGGTTAAGAACCCTCTCTCTGACCCGTGCTTTATGAAAAATTTGTGTCACTCAGTATTCGAGCCTTAACTTGCCATTCATCTATTTAAATTTGTTTAAAAGGAAATGCATACTGCTTACTTTATTTATTTGTTTTTTGTTTTGTTTTTTACTGTTTTCGAAGTATGTTCTTGGTTTCCTTTCATAAAGCCGCTGCCTTTTAGCCCCGGCATGCTGTTGAAAGTGGCCCCTCTGTCTTTCACCTGTCACTGGGAGAGGTAGTTTTAACCCTCACAAGGAATCCGGTTGTGGTGAGGGAGTCCGCATACTCCTAGGCGAATTGTCTCCTTCCTGTATGAATATACAGCTTTTACTGACGTCTCTTTCAGATTCATTCCTGAATCACCTCGTTGGTTATACTCCCAGGGTCGACTGAGTGAGGCTGAAGCAGCTCTGTACCTCATTGCCAGGAGGAACCGCAAGCTCAAGTGTACGTTCTCACTAACCTACCCGGCCAGCAGGAGCCACAGAGAGACCGGAAGCTTCCTGGATCTGTTCCGTTACCGCATCCTCTTGGGGCACACGCTGACCCTGATGTTCATCTGGTAATTATTCCCGAGGGGTATTGTCCCAGTCTTCAACTCAGGTTGCTAAAGAGCTGTTGATGATGTGTTCCTTCTCCAGGCTCACAGAAAATTTTACCTGATTTGTCAGCTTGAAGTGGTTTTCTCAAGAACAGGTCCTCTGCCTCTTGACGCCCGTGTCGTGCTCCGCTCCACTTTCATGGTACCCTCTCAGTCGAGGAGGGACCCATGGTTTACAGATGGCAGGTTTACTGAACTTGAGTAAATAGATAGCAGAAACACATCTTTGCTCCTGAGCTCTTTCATGTAAATATTTAAGTACCCACACAACCAGCCTCCCTGTCCCCCTGCCAAAAAGAGGAAAGCAAAGCATATTAGAAGAATTTCTAAATAGGAATTTACAGTACCTAACTTTGGTTTTAGCATCAAGCTGGTGGGCTAGCACGCTCCAGTTGTCATGCCCCGTCCTGTACTCTGTGTGGCATTTTCACTCGCTCGCTCACTCCCCGGGGGGTGGGCAGTATTGTTGCTTGTACAAATGGAGTCCTGGGAGTGTGAAATGATGGACTGCAAGCCACCTGTGCAAATCAGGGCGTGAACAGATAGTCTCTGAATCTGATTTTCTCGCTTAGCTTATTCCTATCCTCCTCTCAACATGCTCTCATCATTCGCGTGAATCGCACCAAATGGTTCAAGATGACTCTGCTTAAAGAATGAAGTGGAAAGGGAAGAAAGTGGATGGGCGATTCATACAGGGCATGACGTGCCCGTGTGTGGTCGTACTGTGTAGGCGCTCTGCGTTTTACTGCACTTCTCAGATACTCTGTGTTTCATGGTTGAAGGTTTGTGGCAACCCTGCTTCGAGCAAGTCTGCTGGCACCATTTTCCAACAGTATTTGCTCCCTTCGTGACTCTGTTTCACATTTTGTTAATCCTCGCAATATTCCAAACTTTTTCATTAGTATTCTGTTTGTCATGGTGATCTGTGATCAGTAATCCTAGGGGTTACTATTATGATTGTTCGGGGATACCACGAAGCACATCTGTATATGACAGTGAACTTAATAAATGTTGTGTGGGTTCTGACTGTTCCACTGACTGGCCATTTCCCTAGCTCTGTCCCTCTTTGGGGCCTCTCCATTCCTGGAGACACAACAATATCAGAATTAGGCCAGTTAAATTAGGCCTACCATGGTCTTTCTGTGTTCAAGTGAGAAGAACAGTCACATGTCTCTCACTGCAAATCAAAAACTAGAAATGGCCCAGCTTATCAAGGAAGACATGTTAAAAGCCAAAGATAGGCCAAAAGCTAGGCTTCTTGCACCAAACAATTGGCCAAGTTACGCATCAAAGAAAAGTTCTTAAAGGAAATGAAAAGCACTACTCTAGTGAACACATGGGTGATTAAAAACTAAACAGCCTTATTGCTGATGTATTAGGAGACAGTTCTCGTGGTCTGGTTAAAACATCAAACCAGCCACAACATTCCCCTAAGCCAGAGTCTGATCCAGAGCCAGGCCCTAACTCTCTTCAATTCCGTGAAGGCTGAGGTGGGGAGGGAGGCTGCAGAAGGAGAGTCTGAAGTTCACAGAGTTTGGTCTGCGAACTTTAAGGAAATAAGCCGTATCTGTAACAGAGAAGCGCAAGGTGAAGCAGCAAGTGCTGATGTGGCAGCTGCAGCGGGTTCTCCAGAAGATCCAGCTCAGAGAACCCATGAAGCTGGTTCCACTGAACAACAGCTTTCCGTGTCGGTGAAACAGCCTTCTTTTGGAAGAAGATGCCATGTAGGACTTCTATAGTCAGAGAAGAGAAGTCAGTACATGGACAGTCCAACACTCTCGACAGGGGCTGATGCCGCTGGTGACTTAAAGTGGAAGCCAGAGCTCACCGACCGTGAGCATGCTAAGGCCTGTGCTCTCTACGGAGAACAACAAAGCCTGGATGGCAGCACATCTGTTTACAAATATTTGAAGCCCACTATTGAGATCGACTGCTCAGAAAAAAAAAGATTCCTTTCAAAATATTACTGCTCACTGATAATACACGTGGGTGCCCAGGAGCCCTGAGGGAGATGGCCAATGAGATGAATACGGTTTTCATGCCCCCCCAACGCGTCTGTTCTGCAGCCTGTGGATGAAGGCGTCATTTCAACTTTCTAATCTTATGATTTAAGACATACACTTTGTAAGGGTTTGGGTGCCAGAGATAGTGATTCCTTCGATGGACCTGGTCAGAGTTCATTGTAAACCTTCTGGAAAAGATTCATCATTCTAGATGCCATTGAGAACATTCATGTTTCATAGGAAGAGGTCAGAATATCCACATTAACAGGAGTTTGGAAGAAGTTGATTCCAGCTCTCGTGGCTGACTTGGAGGGGTTCGAGACTTCAGTGGAGGAAGTAACTGAAGATGTGATGGAAACAGCAAAAGAACGAGAATGACCAGTGGACCCTGAAGACGGGACTGAACTGCTGTGATCTCATGATCGAACTTGCACGGATGAAGAGTCACCTTCTTACGGATGAGCAAAGAAAGTGGTTTCTGGAGACGGAATCTACTCCTGCTGTGAAGACTGTTGCAATGGCAACATCAGGTTTAGAATATTACTTTGTTGACAAAGCAGCAGCAGGGTTTGAGAGGACTGACTCCAATTCTCAAAGAAGTCCTACCTATCAAACCTCATCACATGCTACAGAGAAATCACTCATGAAAGGAAGAGTCAGTCAACGTGGCAAACTTCAGTCTTGTCTCATTTTAAGGAATTGCCTCAGCCACCGCAACCTTCAGCAACCAGCACCCTGCTTAGCCAGCAGACGTCGGCAGCGAGGCAAGACCGTCCACCAGCAAAAAGATGATGACTCGCTGAAAGCCCACATGATGGTTAGCATTTTTTAGCAATAATATATTTTAAATTAAAGTATCTACATTGTTTTTTTAGCACAATGCTTTTACACACTTAACAGACTACAATATAGTATATGCATAACTTCCCTATGCACTGGGAAACCAAAATATTCACCTGACTTGCTCTACTGTAATACTCACTTTATTGCAGTGGTCTAGAACCCACAGTATCTCCTAGGTATGCCCGTCCATTGTGCTCGGTTGCCGTAAATTGGACCCAGGATTGGGTGTGAACAGCATATTTACCAGCTCGAAGGACTGTCTTGCTGTGGTTGGCATGTATTTGCCATGAAGGCTGCGTAGAAACCTACATTTTCATGTGGGGATTAAGGAGAATCATTTTATATGAAAGTGATCTTCAATGTAAACCTGTTGAAAACAGCAGATGGACAGGATGAAGCTGTGAATATATTTTGCTGTATCGTGATTCTCCTTTTCCACCCAGCCAGGCATGGCTGCCACCTCTGTGATTAGGGGCCAGGGCATTCCCTCTGCCGCCCTCCCCACAGACCCAGCACCGTGCTGGAATATCCCAGATGCAGAAGAAATGTGGAACAGAGGACGCACAGTTGGAGACATGGAGATTAGGGGAACTTTGAAAAGCCGACCTGAAAACCCAGTGTAGGAGCGTCTCCTCTGGGTTCGGCTTATTCCAGACATTTACATAATATATTCAGGTGCTTTGGGCTCCATAAAACTCCGCATTTGCATGTCATATAGACAGTCAAACCCTCTGCCTACTTCTTGAGGATAATTTACTTCTTGTGTTTAGGTTTTTGGGGTTTTTTTGTTTTTTGTTTTTTTTGACGCAGATTAACTTTTGGATTCTGGCCTCCAGGGGATAAAAAACAGACAAACAAAGTAGACTGGGAACCAGGGAGAACATCCGTTTATTTTCTATCTTACATAGCCAAAGGAGTTCTTCTCAAATGAACCTCTTCACCCTGGGCTCCAAATGCTAAAATACACAATTATAGAGACAGTGTCATTCCACATAACGGCTGTTGTTTTTGAAGATGCTGTAAAATTCTGAAGTCTTTTCTGTGGGTCTGCCCTTGAAGACAGCCCTTACCTGGGAGTAAAATGGTACCTCTGCAGCTCACATCTGTTCCTTTGGTTATTTCCCACACTAGTTCCTTTTTAAATAGTTCTTTGATGCCCTAACTATACTGTTAAATATTATGCAAGCATTCTAAATTTTGCTTGGGGCCGGTAAGACGGATTGAAATGATTTTAATAGCTGTAATTACGCATCCCAATGACCAACTTGCCATTAAGGAACCTCGTGAGCGGAGTCCCTGCCTTGGGACCATCGGCCCATGCTCCCCCCGTGCTCACCCACTACTAGCAGCTTCTGCTCACCTCTCGTGTCCTAAACTGGTTTTGTTTATTTGTGCCTGAATTGCTACCATCCCAGCTGTGTTTAAATATGTGTGTTTCCACGGCTGGAACTACTTCACTGGGATTTCTCTTTGATTGATTGATTGATTGATTGATTGAGCATGTGCGAGAGTGAGCTTGGAGAGGGTGGATGGAGGGGCAGAGAGAAAGAGAGAGAGAGAATCCCAGGATGCAGGGCTCGATCTCACGAGCCTGAGATCAAGACCTGAGCTAAAATCAAGAGTTGGATGCTTAACCCACTGAGCCCCCCACCCCCACCCCGGGTGCTTTCTATTTTAAGTGCAGAGTAGACACACACTGCTGCATACAATGCACAGCAGAGGAGGATGTCTGCTGCGGGAAGATAGGATTTTTTAAATACTTTAGAAAGCTGCATGGGTTTATATTTGTTTTAGCTTACTGCTTGCGGACAAGGTGGGTGCTACAGGCAAAACAGCTCAGTGTCACCTTGCATCCTTACACATGATGTCATGGCTCCGACACCACTCATCATCCTTAGTACACGAGTGACAGCTCCACGCAGTGAGCTATAATGGGACGTAGCTGCTATGGCCAGCTGTTTGCCAGGGAGGGATGCCCCTCTAAGCAGTCCAGCTCCAGAGGTCCCTCTCCTCTCCTCCCATCCCTCTCCTGCTCACTGCAGCGCCTTCTTAATAGCCCAGGGCACCTGGCCCATTTGGCTGTTTTGGCAAGATGGAGAGAAAGCTTTCCCCTCTCCTGTTTGATCTCGTCGTAGCAGCAGCTCATCCGATGTTTTCTAAGGAAAACAAAAGGGAAGCCAATGGAAACTTCTCTGTAATAAACACCCATCAGGTGAATTGCAAAAATGTGAAAACTGATGGACTTCCAAAGCCTGTAGTACATTGTATAAGAATGTGTGGTTTCCAAAATACATCTATAGAACAGCAAAGCCTACTTTTGGTGGTTTGTTTCTGTTTGTTCTGTTCTGTTTCATTTTGTTTTTAATAATTCAGTTTCCTAGGCACAGGTGTTTGTCTTCTTCTCTTCCCTCTGCTTGAGAAAGCCAGGACCTGGAGCTTCAGGGTGGCACTTTGGTCAGCTTACAACCCCCTCCCCCAGCTCCTTTGTTCCCGGCCCAGTGCCTGCGACCTAGGAGCCTATCCCCAAGTGTTGCAGAAACAGCACGCAGAAATAAACTGATGGCTTCTCCGAGGGTCCTTCCTCAGCTGACCCTCCTGGAGGATCCTGCCTCCGCTGGGCTCCCGGTCTTCCCTTTCCTGTCTCGGTGGGTCGAGAACCTGGTCAGGGGGTTGGAGGGCCAGTCATCTCTGGCCTGCAGGTGACCCACCGACCATCCGGTCACTTCTCAGCGCATGCTCTCAACACCACGCCCTGTTGGCTTTCCCCTCGGGAGCTCTTTCCTAGAGTCTTTTGGACAATAACACAGCAGTTGCCTGTGGCCAGTGTTTATAAACTGCTGGATTAAATAAAGCGAGAATAGTCATTGTCTTCTGCTAAATGCAGCTGTGCTTGATGGAAGGACAGTTGATGTCTGCACTCTTCCAGGAGTAGCCACTCATCTGCTTTAGAGAGTGTCTAGGCGTCACTCAACCACTTCCAAGGCCCCTAGAATACATTTAGATTGGGATGGAAAGGTCAGTGGGAACGTCAAGCTGATTGCTTAAGACAGATGACATTATACTGAACCAGTGACTGGACCTTCTCCGGCAGATTCTCACGTGCTTTTCCTGTTGACCTTCTTGTCTTTCACCCCAACTGCAGGTTCGTGTGCAGCTTGGTGTATTACGGCCTCACTCTGAGTGCAGGGGATCTCGGCGGAAATATTTATGCCAACCTGGCCCTGTCTGGCCTCATAGAGATTCCGTCTTACCCTATCTGCATCTACTTGATTAACCAGAAATGGTGAGTAGAATTGAGTATGGAGGGCCCCACATAGGATCACACTCTCATATCCATAAATACCTAAGTATCATTGTCTTTGTCGACAGGCAGTATCCGCTCAGCACTCCAGGGTGATTAGAATTCTTTTCAGACCAAATGCAGTTGGAATTCACTTTTTAGTGTGGTATCGCTTGGGTTTCATATTTATGCAGGTTTTCAATCCAGTATTAAAAGGCACTACCACCGGGTTTTGGGTAGTCTGTGGGTAGTCAGTTATCTCCAAGAGAAAGGATTTTTGGCTCTGTATAGATGGAGCTAGGTCGACCCAGCCCCTATCATGTAGATGTTCTTACACAAGCACAGAATTGGAGGACCTGAAAAGACTTTTCTTACCTCTTAAGACCCACTCGACTTCAATGAGTGGAGGAATTCACCCTGCTTTTGCTATTTATTCGTGGGGTATCTTACAATACTTTTTAAAAGAATTCTCTTTTATAGAGAACTCCATTTCCTCAGTTTCCCTATTAGGTCGCTTCTGTTACTGAGCCCTGACCAGGGCAACTGAAAATCCCATTCAGTGTGAATCAGCTGGATTGTGCTGTTCCCTGTTCCCCAGAAATCATTATTTTCATCCAAACAGCATTCTTTTTGCACTACCCTTGGGGCTGTTGTTATGGGTGGTGGGCTCAGGGCATTATGAAGGGCAGGTATAGAATCTGTTCAGCTTTTCTCTGGGGGCAGTCCCGGTCGTCTGTGCTGCCCCCTCTGTTAAGGACTGAGCTTGCTGTCACCACGGTCCAAGAGCCGAGTCAGGCTGCATATTCAGAAATCTGTCCCCATCACCTCCAGTGAGCCAGACGCCCCTCCCTTGTGTTGTCACAGCTTCCTTGCCCACCTCTGAGGACCCCTTACAAAGGGTTTGGAAGGGTGTCGTCCTGGGGAGCAGCCTCTCTGGCTTTGCATCCCCCATGCCCGCCTGGCGTGGCACCTGTCCACTGGAAGGTTCTCAGTACTGATGTTAGATGAGGCACTATGACCCGGAGACCCACGTGTCGTCCTGTCTCCCAGCCACTACCACTGAATTCAGATCTAGTCTCAGCCACGTGTTACTTTGATGACTTTGACAGATGATGGCTTCGACAGGTAAGCTTCTGCGTACTTATCCCTAAACTTGGGCTTCTAAAATTCCCTGGCAGAATTATTATACAGGTTACAAGTACTGTGGCAGTTCCTACAGGGGACCTGGCAAGTCACAGGCCCCTATTGAAGGGAGACTCGTTAATGCCAGTGCTTTTCATCCAAGCCTCCAGCAATTCTTTGAAAATTAGTTCCCTTGATGAAGTGTGCAGTACATGTCATTTAATTCTGACATACTCACAAGAAATTTTTTTTTTCAGTTTGTATTTTTAAGAGAGAGAGCCTTGTTTTACAGTGTTTAAAATTTGCAACGACATGGATAGCACTAGAGGATATTATGCTAAGGGAAGTAAGTCAGTCAGAGGAAGACAGTTGTATGATTTCACTCATATGTGGAATTTAAGACACAAAACAGATGAACATAGCGGAAAGGAAGGAAAATGAAACAAGATGAAATCAAAGACTCTTAATCGTAGGAAACAAACTGAGGGTTCCTGGAGGGGAGCGGGTGGGGAGGGAGGGATGGGATAATCGGCAGATGGACATTCAAGAGGGCACTTGATAGAATGAGCACTGGGTATTGTATGCAGCTGACGAATCACTGACCTCTGCCTCTGAAACTATTAATACGCTATATGTTAATTAATTGATTTTAAATAAAATTTTAAAAATGAACTGCCAGAGATTCAGGTCACGAAAAGAAGTGAGCTAAAGACTCAGTTCTCCATGGTTCATTTTCATTCTCTGGAAGATGGAGAGCACAGCGCATGCCTTACAGGTTTATTGTGAGGACTAAGTAAGATGGAAAACATTCAGCACCACCTCGCACATGGTGAACCCTCACAGAAGTTGGTAGAATGATTTCTGTGTTTTTTTCCCTGCACACATCTTTCGATCCTGCCATCCGGCCAGTTTTCTCCGGTTTTGTGATGGCTCCGTATTTTATGTCCTAGTCAGTCACATCTGCCACCCATTCCTTAAGCAACGATAAGCATATATAATGAAAGCAGGGACATTTCAGGAAGAAGGTTCAGGAGACAAAGCAGATGAATTTTTAAGATCCTCAAGAGAAATGTGTAACGTCTTTCTGTTGTTTAGGTTTGGTCGGAAGCGGACATTAGCGGCATTTCTGTGCCTAGGAGGACTGGCTTGTCTTATTATAATGTTTCTTCCAGAAAAGAAAGGTATGCCTTCCAGATTTCTACAGAAGGGTTTTGAACAGCACTTTTATTACAATGAATCTCAATATAGTAGAGAGATTACCATATGCCATGCTTCATTTCTGTGATTGCATATTATTTAGCGATTGTGTGGGCTATAATGGGCCAGATTCTTCCCATTGCCTGAACTATTCTCTGGGTGAATAATGTGCTTAGAGGTGCACTATTAATTCTTTCAGGCGATTAAGCTACCATCTGGGGTGTCTGGGCTGCAGCACTGTTGATGCTAGAGTTGTTTATTTGATGATGGGGAGGACCATTTAGCTCTGCAGAGGGAGAAGCTCCGTCCAGAGCTACAGATTTGCACACTCCATTCTAGCCAATCATAGATCAGAGGTCAGAGTCCCTGGTTCTCAGAGGCAGCTTTGGCACCCTGGGCATATCCAGCTATACCCCTGGGACACCCCCCCCATCATAACAGCAGCCACAGTAAGAGTGCTGTTCTCTGTTGGTGACAACAGACATGTTCCCAGTCTTTTTTAAACTGTGAACAAAACATCTTTAGAAAACTCTGGTATTTTTATATATTTGTAGCTTTGCTGTGCATTTTTATCTAACTTGACTTCTGCCCCTCTGTAGAAATTATGTTAGAGAAGGATGGTTCTCAGCCTTTTTTTTTTTTATTTTATTTATTTATTTGACAGAGAGAGAGATCACAAGTAGGCAGAGAGGCAGGCAAAGAGAAAGGGGGAAGCAGGCTCCCTGCTGAGCAGAGAGCCTGATGCGGGGCTCGATCCCAGGACCCTGAGATCATGACCTGAGCTGAAGGCAGAGGCTTAACCCACTGAGCCACCCAGGCACCCCTCAGCCCTTTTTTTTCCCCCTTTTTTTGCACTAGCACACCTGGTACATACGAGCTGTCTTGTCAAAACCTGAGTCGGCCAGTGATTTCCAACAGTATGGAATGGGTCATAACGAACACATTGCTGCTGGGGCCTTGTGCGGGGGGCTTAGGGATCTTAAGAAGTCTCCATCCCGGAGCTTTTACTTCAGGTGGGAATCACTGTGAGGTGTTTTCATGGAAGGTTTGACAGCTGCTCAGAACAGAGCTTGAGAATTTACATCCCGACCCATCATATCACATAGGAAACTCTCCCTTGGTCGTTGCTTCTCACCAAAGACCCCAAGGCTATGTGTTCTGGTTCTGTAGTTTCCGGTACACTGTGCTGCCGGTCTTCACCTCAAGTTCTATGCCTTGAGCCCAGAGGAAGGTTTGTTCACTACCATGGATGTGACCCGTATGTAGCACAGCCTTGTGTGATGTTCATGGAATCACACAAACTAGAGGATATAAGTTTGCCCATTTGTGACTCTCTAAAGAAATTGTCACATCTGCTAATGCCAGAAAAGGGAGAGTCCTCCGCTCTTGCCTTGGTGTGGGCTTGTAGAAGCAAGGGCCTGGTTCTCTTTGTCTGACAGACCACAGCGGGCTTCAAATCATCATAGCTTTATTTTTTTAATACATTTATTTATTTATTTGGTACAGGGAGTGTGTGTGTGTGTGTGTGTGAGAGAGAGAGAGAGAGAGAGAGAGAGAGTAAAAGAAAGCACGAGTGGGGGGCAGAGGGAGAAGGAGAAGCAGACTCCCCACTGAGCAGAGAGCCCAACACGGGGCTCAAACCCACGACCCTGGGATCATGACCTGAGCCAAAGGCAGATGCTCAACCCAGGCACCCCAAAATCATCATAGCTTTAGATTCAGATTTTGTTTTTCACAGACAACCTGGAAATCCCATTGTTTTTATCTGTCATAGGCCAGTTCTATTTGTCACCTTGTAGACAAAACTTTCTTCTTGTTGCCATAAGCATCCCTGGAACCTGTCACCCCTCTGCCAGCAGGGCCAGTTCATGTCTCTCCCCCTCCCACATAGCTGTGCACTGCAGGGAACCAGCCCACCGCCCAACACTCTGCACATGGTGCTTTCTGCAAAAGCCCACAGTGGAAGCAGGTGTGTGGTCTCAGCCAGTCCTGGCCTCACTCTGCTCATGTGTGGTTGGTTGGGGTTTTTGTTTTGTTTTGTTTAAGATTTTATTTATTTCTTTGATAGACAGAGATCACAAGTAGGCAGAGAGGCAGGCAGAGAGAGAGAGAGAGAGGAGGAAGCAGGCTCCCTGCCGAGCAGAAAGCCGGATGTGGAGCTCGATCCAGGACCCTGAGACCATGACCTGAGCCGAAGGCAGAGGCTTTAACCCACTGAGCCACCCAGGCCTCCCTACGTATGGTTGGTTGTTTTTTTTTTTTTTTTTTAAAGATTTTATTTATTTATTTGACAGAGATCACAAGTAGGCAGAGAGGCAGGCAGAGAGAGAGGGCGGAGGAAGCAGGCTCCCTGCTGAGCAGAAAGCCCGATGCGGGGCTCGATCCCAGGACCCTGGGATCATGACCTGAGGCAAAGGCAGAGGCTTTAACCCACTGAGCCACCCAGGTGCCCCCGTATGGTTGGTTTTAAGAGAGAAGCTCGAGTGAGCCCTTTATTGATGGTGCCCCCCAGGTGGACATGGAGTGAGGAGGGCTCCAGTGGGATGCCTCCGTGGCATGTACCTCTGTTATACTTAGAAAAATGGACGTCGAGTCAATTTTTAAAGATTTCCAGGAAAAGAAATCTCACTATATCCTTAGAAAATTGTTTCTATTTTTAATAGCCATGAGAACGGGCCTCTTCCGCCACAACTGAGCTTCGTCACTAGAGACACAGAGATGACCACCACCATCCCCCCTCCTTTTTTTTGCATAATCCTTTCTATATTTTCTGAGAGTCAACTATTCCTGAATCTTCTCTTCTTTGAGCTGAAAAATTTGTTCCTTAAACTTTCTTTGAAGCTTTCATATTTACTACTTAAAGCATGTCAGTGGCTCTCTTTTAAATCTCAGTGTGTTCAAAGTTCTGAGCCTTAAGCTACTTCTTACAAAAGTTCTGATAAATATATATTAAGAAAGAGACCTAGTAGTTTGAAAAATTCTATTAGCATCATCTTCTCAGTGCTTTTTGTACCTGTTTTCCCTCACTTTTCCCCACCAAACACACCTTCACTCTCTTTCTGCCAACATAGGTGTCCCAGACCCTGCCAGCTTTTTTTGGTACCTGTGTTTGATTGTGGTTCTCTGTGTCTGAGGCGCAGACAGACATACAGGTACACCTCTAGAAGAAACCACAAGTCAGCTAGCAAACACATTGTTTGGCATTCCTCAGGCTGTGGTTTATAATTTTTAGGCAAAGCGTCCTGCCCGGTGCATGTTCGCACATTGGTTGGCCTCCAAGTGAATGTTCTCCCTGGGGGTAGTATTACCAGGTGGCCACTAATATTTTTGTACAGATTTCTCATCATTCATTTTGATTTCTATCCTTGCTTAAAGGATCCTGATTAAACCTCCAATACTATCGTTTCTGAAGAGTTGACTATATACTGGGTTCTCTTCATATACAGAAGATACTACATATTATCCACATTTGATGAGAAAACTAAAGTTCACATAGGTGAAGCAACTTGTCTATGTTGGCACAGCAAGGAGGCAGCACACTTAGGATTCAGATTTCAGGTCTGTCTGACTTTACAATCTGTGCTGTTTGGGGAATGCTATTTTTGCCCTCTTAGAATTTTATAGCCAAAGTATTCACTGCACATGGTGAGGCTGTTGTCTTAGAAAATTAATGCTGCCTAATTAGAGCCACTTCTTAACTCTTCAATAGACAGGTCTGTTGGGAATTGGCCAGGGTTCAAGGACTTGGGTTGTCAGAATGATGCTGGGCTCTTGTTGGCAAGGAGGTTCGTGGCAGCGGTGATCCTGCCAGAGACTGACTACTGGGGAGTCACAGCACACGACCAGATCAGCGAGTTTCACAGTGGAAAGAGTGTCCTCAGACTCTACTCCGAGCACCTTTATATTTCATTTCTTTTATCAACCTTGGTCTGCCCATTCTTTAGTCACTTGATTTCTCTGGTGTTCCTGTAGGAAGGACCCTATTCATAAACAAGACCTAGTTCCTGGACTCAGAAAGCTTACAATCTGGTGAAGAAAATGAGTTATTAGAGAAAAACAACAACAACAATAAAAGTCAGGAGATACTGTATGAGAATTGACCACAAAATGCCATGGGGACTTTAACTTCAGACCATGATCATAATGGAGACCAGCTATCCTCCTGCCTTAAACAAGTATAAAACCAGAGAAAATAAAAGAAGTACTGATTTTCATACACTGGACAATAAACTGCCCAGGACAGACAGTGATCCCCGAGTGGAAGGAAACCACGTGCTCCCTGTGACCTCACTCAGTGTCTCTGAATCACAGTGCAAGGAAGGGGAGCCCAGCAAATCCTGGTGCTTTCCTAAATTCAGAAGACAGTAATATTAAAACTTGAAGAGACCAAGATTTCTAGAATTTGCTAGAAAATATACTGGAGAGGAATAAGATACACAGAGGAAGAACTCCAGAGATCTGCAGAAGGGGCCTCCGAGTCTTCTGGCTGCTTACTGATCTGTGCATGTGTTTGAGGAAGCTACTGAGGCTACTGAGGCCAGAGAGAGAGGACCGCCAGGAAGCAGCATTCAGGACAAATCATGGAACCCAAGGCCATGCCTACATTGCGTTCTTTTCAGCCAGATGTGCTCCTCTGGGTAGAGACCTCCTGGGTCAAAGAAGCCCCACACCAAAGGCTATTCTCTGCTTGCGCTCAAAGCGCTTTAAAAAGCTCAGAAGGATAAAGTGATCCCAAGTAACTTAACTGCATCCCAGAATAAGGAGCAACAGTATTTAAAGAAATATGATTTCAGCACCTAGCAATGTAACATCCATAGTGTATGGCATCCTGCCAGTATTACCAGGCAGGAAAATACCACTTATGATCAGGAGACGTGGTAATAGAAACAAAACCAGAAATGACCCAGACGATAGAAGGAGGAGATAAGAACTTTAATAAAACAGCTATTATCAATATATTCCGTGTTTAAGAAGAGAGAGGAAA